AGTAATAGATGAGTTTGATGAAATAAAAGAAAATGATAACAGTTGAAAATAAAGTAGTAATTAAACGGAATTGGGTTTGGTAATAAGCTTTATTAAAATGTCCAAACTCAAAAAAATTCAATAGTAATAGGTAACAGATTGTAATCTATCTTCATAATTATAAAAAGGACTAGTAAAGAAAACTTTTATAACCATATACTGTATATAATATAGTTCTGAACATTAAGCAATCATCAACTAAAATCATTTAAAATCATAATTTTCATTTATCAAACTTTTTTTTTGTTTTTATTCACTTTATAATTGTAACTTGTAAGCTTTTAATAAACTCATAAATTAGCTTTTACCATTTTCTTTTTTTATATCTAATATCCAATTTTATTTATTTCATTTTTAGTTTATTTTTATAAACCTTTCTATTAATACTTTAGATAAGATAAATAACCATTTAACATCTTTGTATATATTGTAGTAGCTAATGTAAAATTATCAATAAGTAATAACTAAATCTCAGATTAGGTTTAAAAAGCTATTACAAGATTTGAGTGGATCTTAAAGAATTTGTTTGTATAATTTATACAAATCTCATGAAGCAGTATAGCAGAGCATTATAATTTTTTTTTTTTTAAAAAAAAAAACTTAGTAGCGTGTTTATTAAATATATAGAATCGAAGATTCTAAAAATTTAAACACCTAGAAAATTATTTACATGGCCATAATTCTCTATAACTAAGCGTAATCTAGTCTAAATCTAATCCACATATTATACAAAACCTCGAACAACAAATAATAATAAATTACCACTGCTTAGAAAACAAATGAGGGAAAAGCAAGATCGCTAAAAAACCCTGAATGAATTCTATCTAAGCTAATTACCTAACTAAAGACAGATTAACCCCCTCCGTACTATACCCCAGTAAATCAAGGTAAAACTCTTCTTCGACGAAATCTGCATTCTTTTGATAGCTTTCTCGTATGCAAGCACCGCTCTCTACCAAAAATTATTTCTACGTCTTCCAATATATAACTGATAATGATATTTATAGCGATGATGATGAACAAGCATTGGATCTAACGGATATATTAATTTAAGAAAAGGATGTATTAGTTTGTATTAATAAATATTACGAAAAAATTCGTCGTACAAAAATATATGAGGAATGGTGCCTTGTTTTACGTTAATGTATGTACAATCTCGTGAATCCAATGGATTCCTATTTTTTATACTTTTTATACTTCATCAATGACGCACCTATGGCACGATTTCGCAAAATACTGTTTAAGACGGATAGATTGAGGGTTGACGTGTCTGAACTAATTCTAAAATTGTTTGTAATAATATACTACAGAGCGAATTTTTTCGATAGTATCTAAAAGATATATACATTAGTTGCGTACGCCATTGTTGTCATTTATTTACTACTCTTTATTCTCGTTTACTAAACCATTGCATTCAAATACTTAGTTATTGATATCTACATGCTTCTCATTTAACCATATGATGAGCTGATTATTAGAAATACACTGCGGATATAACATCACATACCGTGAAATTTGACATATGTAATTCAATTATTAATTCACATAATAATTTGCCAATCCCTGCGTCTAATAAGATAAAATGAGATTACACGACAAATTGGTTTTTCAGAATGACCCAAAACGGAATAGAGTCGTTAGCTAAAATATACCTCACAGAACGGGAAGACTATTCTATTATGGGAAAAATAACTTCCGATTGACCCGCTATTCTAACATTAAATGATGTCATCATATTGATTTTCGCAACATGATTGAGATGGTTTTGCGCAGATCATACCTAAATTTCTTGTTTTCGACCACAGAAAATAATTAGATGTACTAGTTGCGTCTTGGAACCCAATTTTTTTGTGTTCTTAATTTCTCATTATATGCCTGAAGGGTATTCCTTCGGAATGTGGCCCAAGGTTGGCTTTTATGTTTCGAGTACTCTATGTTCTATTCCCAATCTCTGATGTAGTCGATGACAAAAGATTTTAAGACTATCATTCTCCAAATGAAGAACGAAAACGTTTTCGCCTTTCTTCGTAAGTGTCTTCAAAATAAAAGTGTTCTTTTGCATTCGAATTCTTATTATTAATATCTGGGATGTAGTATTTTGATCGCATAATAATCTATGGTACGAATATTCCATAACTACAGTAATAGCACCACTCCTGTAGACATCAATTAACCTAACCAGTAATACTTATATCCACGTGTCCAAGACTCTTTCTTTTTTCTGGTTTTTTTCTACTTCAGAAACTATCATGAATTAAAAGTATCATTTTCGATTGTCTACAGATTTCTAGAATAAATTGCTTAATCCGTGAATCGTGAATAACCTTCAGATTGCATGTGAATAAACCAGAACTAATATGCGAATCGCAGTAAATTACACTCAAGCAATATACCCAAGGGAATGCCCATCATGTATTCTAACTATCTTGATTAGTTATCGCCCCTTTGCTAGTGTAATATAATCTATTAGCAGTATATTTCAGACATGGAGAACAAGATTAACTAATTTATAGTACTTAAATTGTATTCGAGGGTGCAATAGTGTAAATTCACAAATAAGAAGGGATCATTTTCTCAGGTGACCTCAATTCGTCAAAGTTATATGACATACTGCGTAGCTACTGTACGATTTTAATCTGCTATTTTCGTGATATTGCCAATTCAGAATACAAATATGGGCCTTATTGTGTCCAAATATGTTTCTGGAGAGATCACTGAAGAAATAATCTAAACTATTCGTCCATGAGTAAACAGACTTTTTGGCAATTAAAAGTTAGCAGGAGAAAAAATGATTCTCGTTCCGTACACATGCTGCTTGGAATAAATTCTTATGTATTTCTTAGCCACAATATATCATACAGACTCACTAATATTTTTACCTATCAAAACAGTGAAGTTGATTAGTTTATTTTCTTGTAGAAACAGATAAGAATCACTACAAAGTCTACTCACAGTTCTTCTTTTTTGTATTAACTTGGAATTATCGTTTCTAGAGAACCAAATATTTGAATAAAAAAGATACATGGATATGAGCATACCACTTGCCCTATAAAAAAATTGAATACGTTTTTTATAAAGTTTTTATACGATTTTTTTTCCTTAGAAATAACGTATCATAATAGGATACGGAAAAATGCACAATTCCGTATCACTAAAAATATAGTTTGGATACGGAATTTATATGGAATTTACA